TTAACACACCTAATAACTTATATTCGATTGTTGAACACTGAATTAGATTACGGGGGTTAGTTCGGGTACGATTTGGGGTCCTTAGTTGTGACTAGGGGAAGACAGAGGAGACAGGGCTGAGATTATATCTCGCCTTGTAACAATTTTTCTGGGTTCTTTTCTTTCCCAATTTCCCCCAAAGGTTCCTAGCTATAGCACCGACATTTTTAGAGTACTCAATCCCCTTAGATAGGACAATCGTTGTATACCCCCTCCCCCGATCAACCCAAAAAAGTACACACTTTAGAATTATTTTACATCGTTTCAACACTACCACACACATATCCTCGGGATATACCAGGACTCTCACACGATTATCAGTTGGTCGCAACGCATGGCCAGATTCTCGCTTACGAACCACATCGTAATTTATCTAGACCCTTGCACCTAATCTCGTGATGACTTTTTTTCACAACAAGTTTCACGACACACAAGCAGTTACAACTTGCAGATAAGTCCAAATTCTTCAATTAGTTCATTCTATAGACAACCGTTACTGAACATCTATGCCTTACACCTCCCCTAGGGCTAGATACCAATTGGAACCTTCTCAGTTCCCATTAACTTGCTTGTGTCCCTTCAGTCGGGACTACGACGTCTAGATTACTTCGTTGAGATTCCAAGTTTCATGACACTCAAGCAGTTACAACTTGCAGATAAGTCCAAATTCTTTAATTAGTTTGTTCCATAGACGACCGTTACTAATCATCTATGCTTTACACCTCTTTTAGGGCCAGATACCAATTGGAACCTTCTCAGTTCCCATTAACTTGCTTGTGTCTCTTAAACTGGGACTACGACGTCTAGTTCACTTCGTTGAGATACCAATTGGAATCGGGAGATACCAATTGGAATCGGGAGATACCAATTGGAATCGGGAGATACCAATTGGACTCAACTCATACCACAAGCAACGATAGTAGCTAGTGAGCCCCATAAATCTGCTAATTTCAATCATAGAACTTCGTCCAACCCAATTCTTAACCACCTCAATCTTTAACTGATGGTAATTTGACCTTAAATCAATCTTAGATAAAATCGATACACCTTGCAATTGGTCAAAAAGGTCATCTATCCGAGGCAATGGATACTTGTTCTTAATGGTGACCCTATTCAACTATCGGTAGTCTACACATCCTCTCTTGCTAGTGATGGTGTTACCAATTTCGTTGCTCTAGTTCGGACCATAGAGTGTGATATACCGTGAGTTTACGGTATTTTTAATATATTTCACTTAAGAGTTGTGTGTGTCTAGGGCCTTTTTAGATTGTTTTTTTATGTGTTTTTATCATGTTTTGCAGGAAAGATGTTTAGGCGCGGAAGTAAAGAGACAGATGAAAAAAATGCTGAAAAGGGCATCTATGGAAGTGATTTATGGACCGTAGGTCCATTGAAGCTCCGTAGATGGCGATCTTACATCAGCATAGTAAGGCATAGAAGGAGAATCAGGGAATTTGACCAAGTGTGGAAATCTATGGACCGTCCTGCTAAACCGTAGAATGTGACTGCGAGGGTTCTAGTACCTGATTTTTGGAAAATTCCAAGTATGGAGCTACGTAGAGGGATCGATGGACCGTAGATTAACCTATGGTCCATACTGGTGTTCCGTCGTTTGCTTAAGATAAGTTGATTTTTTGAAGCTGAAATATTTTCCAAGTCCTGGCTAACGGAAGGGACTCACGGATCGTAGATCCATTGACGGTCCGTGAGTCAGTCTCATGGAATAAAGACGCGTGCCTGAGCAAACTTTCTTTATTTTGTTTCTCTTTTAATTTAGAACTTGTTTTCTATAAATAGGGTATGTAAACCTCATTTTTGGAGGGTTAGACATTATTATTTTTATTCTAGTTTTTGGCTTGGGAGATTAACTTGCAAACCTAGCAATTCTTGATTTCCTAAGTTGGTTTTGAAGATTTTGGTATTGAAATTTAAGTTGAAATTCCGGGTTTGTTATTCTTAATTACGTAAGTTCATAATTCTTTGAGCTAAAACAATGAATTGTGTTCATATGATTATGGGTAACTAAACTCCACAACTAGGGTTGTGGGAACCACAAGCTCATAACGCAGAAATCCTAGTAATAGCAATCATTTCCTAGTGTACTACATGCAAAGTGATAAGCTATGTATCTCTAAATCCTTGGTCTGGCATCTAGAGAATTTCACCCCGCACCTTGATCCGTCTACGTGTGTATAATTTATTAACCCTTAAATTTACCTCATATTAGACATCACAACTAGGTTCTAGCTGAAAATCAATTGGAAGATGCAGTGACGGTGCATGGTCCACCAGGCCCACGACTGCATGACAACTATAGGGGCAACATCAATATTGTTGACTCTGATCGACCTCTTGTCCTACCCCCTTTTCCTCCGGGGCACACATTTTTAGTGACCAGTAGCTTGATGTAGATGCTTACCACGAGGGTCTTATTCTCGGGGTTACCATCAGAGGACCCACATGCTTACATAGCTAAGCTAAGAGTGGTCTGCAAGAGCTGTGTAGGTCGACCAGACTTAGATATGGATGTCATCGGATTGTGAGTGTTCCCTCTATCACTGACGGGCGATGCTATTGTATGGTTCACTGAGCTTTCTTATAACTCAATCATTACATGGGACCAACTGAAGGATGTGTTCTTAGCAAAATATTATCCAGTGTCCAAGAAGCTCAATCACAAATATAAGGTTAACAATTTTGTGGCACTACCTGGAGAATCTGTGAGTAGCTCTTGGGACAGATTCACTGCGTTCATAAGAGGTGTTTCGAATCACCGTATTGATGATGAGTCGTTGAAGGAATCAGGATGACAACAATAAAGCAGTGCTTGATACTATTGCTGGAGGTTCATATGGTGAGTGCACATACACACAGATTGTAGAAAAACTAAAAACAATAAAGCATGGAGCACTAGGAGGTCGGATACTAGTAGAAACACATTTGTCGTTCATGCTACAAACAACCAGTTTGCGGATGAGATTCGTGAGGCATCGCTCAGATGAGGACCGAGTTGGGATTGGTATTGAAGTATGTGAGCGGAGGCGCGGAAAAGGTAAATGTTGTGAACTACTTGACTAGAACTCCACCACCAGTTGAAGAGTGTTACTATGAAAATGATGTTTTTGCGGTGAATGATCAGACGGATGGTTTCCAACCAAATGCCCAAGGATCCAACACGGAAAATTGGTGCCACGGTCAAGGAAACCAAGGTCGGAACTATGGTAATTATAACCAAGAGGGTCAATATGTCCGGGATGGGAACTTCAATCGCGACAACAATTATAACCGAAACAACTATGGCAACAGAAACGATCAGGTTGGACCTTATGTTCCCCTTCATAATCAAGAATCTGGTACTAGGGAAGCTGGAGGCAATATGACGCGTATGGAAGATATGATGCAGAATATGATGAGAAGGTTTGACGCAATTGATGAGAATGTAAAGGAGATGAGAAACGACTTGTCTGGTATTGGTCCAAAGGTTGATGCCCATGCAGTGTCAATAAAACATCTAGAGCAACAGATGACTTAGTTGTCTACTACAGTGAACCCACGTCAACTTGACACTCTTTCTAGCAACACCATCCAGAGTCCAAAAAATAATGGTCATTGTATGGCAGTTACTACTCAAGGGGGTAAGCAAACCATTGATCCACTTATGTCGTCTATGGTGGATGTTGAGATTAGAAAAGAAGATGAAGTGGTAGAGGTTAGAGAAGAGTTTGAGAATGCGACAGAGAAAGAAGCAGATATATCTCAGAAAGTGGTCCCCATACCTAGACCTCCACCACCTTTTCCACAGAGGTTATTGAAGAAGACTGAATATGGTAAATATAGCAAGTTTATTACTATGTTGAAGCAGCTTTCCATCAGCATTCCGTTGATAAAATCTTTGGAGCAAATGTCTGGGTATGCGAAATTTATGAAAGATATGGTGACAAAGAAAATGTCTGTGAGTTTTGAAGATGATGATAGATTGCAACATTGTAGCGCTATTGCTACAAGGTCTCTTGTGCAGAAGAAAGAAGATCCTGGTGCTTTCACGATTCCATGTGCTAAAGGGTTGTTACACTTTACTAAGGAAATTGTGTGATCTTGGTGCTAGCATCAACCTCATGCCATTGTCTATTTATAAGAAGTTGGGTCTAAAGGATCCAAAGCCTACTACGATGTGGTTACTTATGGCCATTCGAACCGTGAAAAGGCCCATTGGTGTACTCCATGATGTGCTAGTGAAAGTGGAGTCGTTCATCTTTTCGATGGATTTTGTGATTCTTGACTGTGAGGTTGATTTTGAGGTTCCTATCATCCTTGGGAGACCATTCCTTGCCACAGGGCGTGCGTTGGTTGATATGGAGAAGGGGCAGATGAAGTTTAGACTGAACAATGAAAAAACAACTTTCAACATTTGTAGGTCCATGAAGCAAAATGGTGAGCTCCAATCGGTATCTGTTATAACTTACAGAGTTGAATGTGAAACAAAAGTGCAAATTGAAGAGCGACTAGGTGTTAAAGCACTAGCAACAGTTATGATGAATTTCGATAGTGATGGTATTGAAGAGTACGATGAGTTGGTAGTTGCACTCGATAGGTGCGAATATCGGTCAAAACCAAAGAGGTATGAGCTAGACATAAAGAATCGTGAGTCCCCACCCGCGAAACCATCAATTGTAGAGGCATCAAAATTGGAGCTTAAGGCTCTACCACCGCATTTGAGGTATGCATTCTTGGGTAGAGATAATACTTTGCCGCTCAACATTGCGGCAGATTTAAATGCGAGACATGTAGAGTGATTAGTGACTGTGTTAAAGAGGTTCAAGCGAGCTATTGAGTGGACTATTGCGGATATTATTGGGATTCCTCCTGGTATTTGTTCTCACAAAATCCAACTCATGCCAGATCACAAGCCTAGTATCGAGAACCAGAGAAGATTAAGTCCACCTATGCAATAGGTAGTTAAAATGGAGATCATCATGTGGTTGGATGCCGGAGTTATTTATCCTATTGCAGATAGTAATTGGGTGTATCTTGTGCAGTGTGTGCCTAAAAAAGGTGGTATTACTGTGGTTCCAAATGAGATAAACGAGCTTGTTCCAATGTGGCCTGTGACCGGATGGAGAGTCTGTATGGATTACCGGAAGTTGAATGCGTGGACAGAGAATGACCACTTTCCTATGTCATTCATGGACCAGATGTTGGATAGACTTGCAGGCAAGGATTGGTATTGTTTTCTTGATGGGTATTCGGGCTACAATCAAATTTCTATAGCTCCGAAAGACCAAGAGAAGACCACCTTCACTTGCCCTTATGGGACTTTTGCTTTTAAACGGATGTCATTTGGGTTGTGCAATGCTCCAACGACCTTCCAGCGTTGTATGATGTCGATATTTTCTGATATGGTGGAAGACACTATTAAAGTGTTCATGTATGATTTCTCTGTAGTAGGTGACTCTTTTGATCGATGTCTGGATCATCTGGCTAAGGTTCTTAAAAGGTGTGAAGACTGCAATCTGGTGCTAAATTGAGAGAAGTGCCACTTTATGGTGAAAGATAAGGGATAGTTTTAGGTCATCGTATTTCTAAGAAGGGCATTGAGGTTGATAGAGCAAAAGTAGAGGTAATAGAAAAGCTTTCACCACCTATCTCTGTAAAAGGTGTTAGAAGTTTTCTTGGGCATACATGTTTCTATCGGAGGTTCATCAAGGACTTCTCTAAAATTGCACATCCATTGTGTAAACTGCTTGAAAAAGAGTATAAGTTTCATTTTGATGATGTTTGTCTGAGAGCATTTGGAGAGTTGAAGGAGAAGTTGGTTACTGCACCTATCATTATTTCAGCGGATTGGGGACAACCGTTTGAGGTAATGTGCGATGCGAGTGGAATGGAGCTTGGTGTAGCATTAGGACAGAGGAGAGAGAAAATTCTTCACCCTATTTACTATGCTAGCAAAGCTCTAAATGTGGCCAAGAAGAATTATACTGTGACGGAACAAGAACTTCTCGCGGTCATTTTCGCATTCGAGAAATTTTGGTCCTACTTGCTCGGTACTAAGGTCATAGTGCATACTGACCATTCTGCATTGAGGTATTTGATGGAGAAAAATGATGCAAAACTAAGGTTGATTAGATGGGTATTGTTGCTGTAAGAGTTTGATTTTGTGGTAAAAGATAGAAATGGGATCGAAAATCAAGTTGCTGATCACTTGTCTAGATTAGAGAAAAAGGCTATGCTAAAGCTTGGAGATAGGGCTGAAATTAATGATGCTCTTCCAGATGAACATGTATTGGCTGCTTCTCATGATCTAATTCCTTGGTTCGGAGACTTTGCTAATTATTTGTCAAACGATTTGGTGCCCCCGAATTTGTTTTTTCACCAAAGGAAAAAGTTTATGTATGATGTGAAGAAATTCTTTTGGGATGAGCCTTACTTGTATCGTAGTTGTGCTGATGGGATTATTTGTCGCTGAGTGCCCTAGGTTGAGATGTTGAGTGTACTTGAAGCATGTCATTCATCGCCTATTGATGGTCATCATAGTGGTATTCGGACTGCGCATAAGATTTTGCAGTGTGGGTAATACTGGCCTACCATCCACCAAGATGCTCATGATTTCGCCAAGTCTTGTGATCATTGCCAAAGAGAAGGAGGGATTTCAAAAAGGCAAGAGCTTCCTATGAATCCTATATTGGTGATAGATTTGTTTGATGTATAGGGCATTGATTTTATGGGTCCATTTGTGAGTTCACATGGGATGAAGTATATTCTTGTTGCGGTTGATTATGTATCGAAGTGGGTGAAAGCAGTTGTGCTCCCCAACAATGAAGGTAAACGTGTCACCGCATTTTTTGAAAAAGAATATCTTCTCCAGATTTGGTACACCGAGGGCAATCATCAGTGATGGAGGTTCCCACTTTTGTAATAAATTGTTCAAGGCGCTACTTGAGAAATATGGTGTCCGCCACAATGTAGCCTCTCCTTACCATCTGCAGACTAGTGGGCAAGTTGAAGTGTCCAACAAAGGGATCAAACAGATATTGGCGGAGACTGTGAATGCTAATAGAACGGATTGGTCAAGGAATTTATATGATGCTCTATGGGCCTATCGCATTGCATACAAGACTCCCATAGGTATGTCTTCGTACCAACTTGTATTTGGGAAGTCTTGCCATTTACCGGTAGAGCTAGAGCATAAGGCTTTATGGACGATGAAGAAGCTAAATTTGGATTAGGGCGCCACATCTAATCAAAGAATGAATGACTTGAATATGCTTGATGAGTTTCGCCTGAAAGCTTATGAAAGTTCAGCCTTGTACAAGGAGAAGATGAAGAGGTATCATGATCAAAGAATTGAAAAGCGAGGATTTGTTGTGGGTGATCTTGTGCTTCTATTCAACTCTAGGTTGCGCTTGTTTCCGGGCAAACTCAAATCCAAATGAACTGGGCCATTTTTACTCACAAAAGTGCTCCCCCATGGAGCGGTCGAGCTTGAGAACAGTGAAGGAACAAGGTTCATGGTTAACGGGCAAAAGTTCAAGATCTATTTGGGAAACGCAGAAAGTGTGCAAGAAGTTGTTGATGCCTATCATCTTGATGAAGTCTGAGTAATCAAGAGGCCTTCGTCGTGCTGCAACGTTAACTCAAGCGCTGCTTGGGAGGCAATCCAAGATGTAAAATCTAGCCAACAATAGGTTTTTGTTTTTCGTTCAGTAGTTTTCTTTGTTTAGTTTCTTCTCTGTACTCATTTAGATAGTTGTTTTATTTTTGTTTTAGTGTTGGCTAGACATAGCATAGCGTCAGTGTCTAAAAAGTGTCCAGAAAATGTAAAAAGAAAGTGCTAATGGTTGCTACATGTGCATGAGCGGAAATCAGAATCTACAGAAAAAGGTCTGGTGCAGCAATCTACGAACCCCATCGACGGTTTGTGGTTCATTCCACGAACCGTCAATAGTGTCCGTAGATCCTAGGTAAGGTTTCTAAATTTTTAAGTGAAAATGTGATCTAGGGTACCCATCTACGGACCGTAGATCGACCCACGGACCGTTGACGGGGTTTCGTGGGTTCGAAACCCTAAATGCTGCCTGACTCGACTCGGACTAATCCTATTTAAAATCCCCTAATTTTAAACCATTCCCACTTCCCTCCATTTACCCCCAAACCATTTCTAAACTCCTCAAAATCCCCTAAATCACGTCTTAAATCACCCATTACTGCTCCATATACAATTCTCACCCCTTCATCCAAGAAATTCCCCAATCTCTCTCAACTGCCTTATTCAAAACTTCGGTGTTCGGGTTCGGTGCAACTAGGCGATTAGTGTGGTATTGCAAAGCTTAGTGTCATCACACAATCACCCCATTCCTCATTTCTTGTAAAGTACTATGGCACCCACGCTAGTCACCTATACAAAACAGGGTAAGTCAAAATCTGTTGCCCCTAGCTTCAGGCTAATCGACAAATATAATGATGTGGAGACAGATCCGGCATACGTTCCTCCCAACATAAGGACCTCTCCTACTGCACCCCGAGTCACCAGAGGCACCCACCGGAAGGTGATTCCCGACGTAGTCACTGTCTCCCAGTCTAATGAGGAGCACACACTGATCAGGTCACCAACTGGGGTTGCTTCCAATTCAGAGAATGGGTCTACGTCCAACTCCGAGTCTGCCCATGCTTTGGGATCTGAGTATAGCCATGCTTCAGGGTTCGAGTCTGCCAAAGGAAGGGTCCATTGCTAAATCAACCACAGATTTCGGTGAAAATGAATAAGCAGCCTCATCTGATGAGGCCACTAGCTCAGAGACAGTAACAGTACCACAGAATGAAGACCCTACCCCAGTGGCCGGCGAGCCAAATAGATGGTTTGTTGAGGGCCAACGACAGATTTATCGGGATGCCAAGATGAAAAATGACAAAGAGAAGATGGCCCGACTTATTACAGATGAGCGTAGAGTCCTCACGGGGAGCTTGCACACTGTCCCCGACATCCACCGGCTTTTAAACTTCACAAGTGTGACTGGATGGCTCGAGATCGAATGACTTATAACGAGGAGATTGTGCGGGAGTTCTACGCCTTCTATGCTGCCACTCTCCGAGGTTTGATCTTCAAGCGGTCCAAGCCCACAGCCTAGGACCCTTTCACTTCCACTATTGTCCGATGGACATATCACATGCCACCATCAACTGATTTATCTATGGCCCTGCCACCGGTCAATCTTGGCCACAGAACACAGCAGAGTTGAATTACCGATGGGACATTGTGAGGGTGGCGCTTTTCAGAGATATCCTGAGCAGCGGGAGGCTATTACACTATGGTTGGCTAAACACATTGCTGCAGATGGCGAGCGTGCAGAGTGGGTCACCGCACCATTATTGGGTATCCGAAATGCCATATTAAATTTCATGGCCAAGTTCTTCTGTCTGTTGGTGCGCAACAGAGTGTCGCCTACAAAAGCTGACAACCAACTCACATGGGACAGATCCGTCATAGTTGCTGCATTAGTAGCAGGATGTGAGATTGACTTTGCCAGCATGCTGCTGACAAAGATACATGAGAGAGCGTTCAAGACCTCCACTACTTCTCCCTTTCCATGTTTGATTTTTCAGTTGTGCAGGGATTCTGGAGTGCCGATCTGGCATTGTGATAGGTTGATCCACCCTACTGGGACTTTGGATATAGGCCTTATTCGAAATGAGGCAAATATGCGGCACCACGCCGAGAGCCCCAGGTTGAGGTACCTCCCTTAGGCACAGATCTTGCAGACACGGTGGAGTAGGCACAGGGCGATGATCCCAGTATACCAAGCCACACCGATACTATACCGGCCTCCTCTTCTAAGACAGCTAGTAAGGCTCTTAGCTTATCCAGGTCCACACCACCATCAAGAGTTGTTGTTGTCCCGATGGCCAGAGTATAGAAATTAGAGGCTCAGATGGCCACACTGCTCCACCACATCCAGCCTTGGATGCAAAAGTCGATAGAAGAGTCTGAGGCCAAAATTGAGAAAAGGGTGGCAAAGTAGACAGAGCAGCAGATCTAGGCAGTTCATAAACGCCTGGATGCATTTGAGTTAAGAGTTCTGGCCCGATCAGCCCCCCACACCGATCTTTCCTCCATTCAGGCGAAGTTGGCTAGTCTCCGAGCTAGTGTGGATGTCATTCTTGACATTCCTGTGAATGAGCCAGAGCATGCACCGATGGTATTGTCTAAGGATACTATTTTTGATGCCTTATTCAGGGTGGACGAAGAGACACATCCCGATCCCACCCGTGCTCGTGGTAAGAGGCACCATCTTGTCACCCTTCTGAGATCGTTGATGATGCTTGAACTAGAAAACAGGGAGCGTAAGGAAGAGGAGCAGGCTAGGAGAGCATCAATATTAGATGAGGAGTTATGCCAGAAAAGGGCGCTTGAGGCTGCTACTGGGGCATCGAGTTAGGTGCCCGTGAGGATTGATGTGAGCACCACTGATGGTGCAATTAGAGTTGCGGATATCACTATTGATGGTATTGTCTTTGTTGATGCGGGCACTACTGAAGGTGACCCAAGTGTGGATTTAGCGGGCTCCGGGAAACCGGACTTGTAACACCCCAGAAATTCTATGACTTAAGTTAGAGCCTCACCTCATGAATAATGACTTAAAAATAGTTAAAATGATGTTTATAAACCTAAACTAATGTAATTGACTTGGTTTGGAAGAGTAAAAGTCTAAACGTCAAGAAACGACCACGACGTCCGGAAACTAGAGAAGAATGTGTTCTAGTGTGTCCTTAGGTTTTGGGCATGTTTGGGAGTGTCGTGTGATGGTATAATCTTGTAAAAAGAGTTAAAATAGGTAAATATATGTTTATAGGGTCAAAACATTAGAATACGACACCCCGGGACCACCCTAAGGGGCTCCAAGGGAGAACCCCAACCTTGGACAAGCAAGCTGCCAAGGCAGCTTGCAAATTGCTCTTGGAGGGAACAAGGGCGCGTCGCGGACTTGCTCCCCCAAGGAGAAAAAAGTTTGTTCGCGACGCGGTCGTGTCGCGGACTCTACTGTCTCGAAATTCAATTCCAAATATCTTCAGCGAACAGTCCGCGACGAAAATGCAGAAATTCAGAAATCTATTTTTACTTCATTAAAGAGTCCATTTAAGTAAGGGGTATTGAGGGTACTTTAGGGGACGTGTATATAATGATTTTTAAGTCAATTTACCTCACTTTTATCACTCAAACACAAAACCCAAAAGATCTAAACCTATAGTTCCTCCTTCTCTCTACTCTCTCTCTCTTCTCAAGAACTCCATTGAAGAAGATCGGAGCTTCAAAAGAAGACCAACTCTCCAAGGTTTCAAATATGATTTTTGTGGTTAATTCGTTAATAAGGTATGGTTTGCTTATCACTCTTAGGATTCCTTTCCCCAAGAGGCCCCTTCAAGATGAATTTCAAAATCTCCAATTTCTAGGTTTCAATCCAAAAATGTGGGTCTTCTTTCTAAGTGAAATTGATGTTATAGACTGACTTGGATTGGTGTTAGATGAACAATTATGGATGAATTTATATCGTATTGGTGGTTTCGTGAAGAATTCCCCATGAGATCCATGTTTCTCCTTCTTTTCCTAATTATAACCCTAGTTTGTGTTGGATATCAATTGAAGGCTATGAATTGAATGTGATGTTATGTAATTCATGTTTGTATGATTATTATACCATATGTTATGTATAATTTCTATGAAATTAGGGTTGAGTCTTTGAATGAAGCCTTGAAGGCTATGAAGGGAATATGTCAATTGCTTATATTGATGATTGATTATGTTATTACTTCATGAATTACCTTGTATTATGTATTGGTTATGAATTGCTTGGTAATTGAAGTATGGATGTCCCACGAAGGGCAAGAAGGTATGCAGGTTGGTTCTTCTTTGAACTCAAGTATGAAAGGGGAATAACTTAGATTGTAATAATGTTATACCTAATGTGTTATTGTGGTGTTGATGACCTAGTTTCCTCATCCTTAACCCTATACACTTGAATTAGCTATGAAGTATGTATGTATATTATGGTATTATTGCTATATGATTGAAATGTAGTTCTTATGATTGTAGTGTAATGTAAAGTGAAAGGTTTACTCACTTGCTAAATGTCTCTAAAGTGAAAGGATTGCTACTCACTTATGAACACATATCAGTTATCATGATAATATGTCTACATAAGAGTTTAGTAAAGGCTAATGTAAACTTATGTGATGACTAAAGATGATTACTAAAGGGAATTAGATGCTTAGCACCGAAAGGGCATGTAAATGAGATGAGGGTCTCACGTTTAGTAAATACGGCTCCCCACATGGGTTTCCTCACGTTTAGCAAGTCCAGATTACCTACGGTATGTGTTGTCTCATGAGATGGAAACCCCCACGTTTAGTAAGTTAGGGTTTCTAGAAGCAATTTCTTTGACCCTTAACTATGTGACCACATAGGACTTTAGCTTAGTGGATCCACCTAGATAGCTATGTACGAATGGTTACACCTTAGGCAAGTGTTAACCCTTTCTTTTCGGTGTGGGAGTAGAACACCAGATTCCATGTAACTCTCATGGTCTATGTCGGTTATTGCAATATTTCCCTAATGTAAAATTAGATGAAGCTATGAAAGGTGTGAACTCTTACTAGGGCTTTCTTAAGGGTTTCTACATAGTGTAAGGGAGGGTATGGGACTTCTCTTGCACATTGCACTTGTGGGATCCTAAGGGATGGTTGTAGTAGTGTTCTCTTATGATTATGATGATTACGACTTATGTAAGTTGAAGCTATGTTATGTATGATCATTATGAATATGGTAAGTTATGATGAAATATGATCTTATGCATGTATGCATGAAGTAGGTTGCTTAATGTGATACTTGACTTTGAATAGGGTTATGGGGTTCTATTCTTTGCATTGCACTAGTATTGCTTGGGCTGTCTACATGTTGGGATGATATTATGTTGGTTTGGACTATGATACTTAATTTATGTGCATATTGGATTTACTTGGGGAAAAAAAGTGTTTTGAATAAAATGTCCCTTTATGCATGTTTCAATGTTTTTTATGCATAGTAGCCATACTTAGTACGTGTGTTGTACTAACCCATATTTTCTCCCTTTTCCCCAAACATTTAGGTTCGGGCCATTGAGGATTCAAGTTTACTTCTCAAGACACTTGAAGTTGCTTCCCCAAGTTGGTGAGTCCTCAAGTCCAAGGACAAGACCCTATGATCTAGCTTCTATGTTTAGTTCTTTGCTTATGTTGAAAGACATTGTTGTACTTCCTATTTGCAAGACTTCTTATTGATGTAAGGGCTAAGTCCCATTTTCGATACTTCTATGTTTAGATGGTGCATTCTGACGAAGTTAGATTCTATTTTTCATATATGAAGTGAAGTTGAACTTCCAAAGTAAAAGTTTTAAATTTTCTGTGATTTTATTCTATGATACATGTTATGATGAATGCTAAGGGCTTGTATAAGACCTCTTCGAGGTCGAATACGCCGGTAACGACTAGGGGGTGCTCTCGGGTCGTTACAGGACCCACCCGCTTGTTGATGGTTCGTCGGCGCTATGCGCCACATGTTTGCTTCACCCAAATCCAATGCTTTTTACTATTTTTTTGTGTGCTTTAGGGAGAAGTGCACCTATTTTTTGTCGGGGGTGGGGTAAATGGATTGTGAGTAATAGGGTGAAGTCTGAGTAACCTAACTCATAATCCTCTCTTGGGCTTTTCTTGCCTGTGTTCTTTTCCCCCAAGAGACTGTTTAATTTATGTTGAACCGGTATGTGTTAGGATCGTATGTGTAGAAGGATGAAAAAGAATGAAGCATGATGTCTTATGAAAAATGGCACCCGTCCAAATTTTGTAATGTATGCTAGAATTTGTAGGCTAAGATAAGTTGAATGTGTTGGCTCTGAGTATGACATGATAATGAACCAACTTGATGGCATGACTTAAGCTAAAATATGAACTGGGTAATTTGATAATCTGATAATGAAACTATGTGCCAAGAGTGTGTGAGAATAGAT